AGAAACTTGTGCTGTTTTAGTATACAATGTCGATATGCATGTCAGAATTAACATGCGAGTTTCTTCATAATTTTTTTATTCTTGTATTATTAATTACTTCAAGCTTTGTAAGATTAGAAGATTATTAATATTAAATAATTTCATATATACTATAGTATACATACGTTTACAACGTTCTTGATATATATAATTTAATTCTTAAATATGGTTATGATATTATACGAGATGGTATTCTATCTAGTAAACTATTCCACGCGGAATGACTTGTACAGTAATAACTAAGCGTACATTTGTTTTATATATTTATTTAAGTGTATGTGTAAAATAAAAAAAAATTGCAAAAAAATATATAATTAAATATAAATATAAGACGCCCACATAACACCCATTTAGAATTCCTTCTGGAAAGTGGAATATAATATTTTGTATGTTGCGATGTTATGTCTGAGAGTCACCAATAAATTTTATTGTAATAAAAGAGATGTTTAATCCCTCCACGACCGCGGACAAGTCGGCGTGTCAGTTAACAATAGATTTCTTAGAATTTTAATTAATTTCTTAGAAATTTACCTGGAGGTGTTATAAGGAAAATTGATTGATTGAGTACAGGAGGTACTGCTACTGAACTGTCTATACGTCAAACGACCTTTACTAAAAATTGAGAAAATGTGTTTTTTTTTGTTTTTTCCCTTTTACCACATTTCGCTACAACTAAATTAGATGGGAAACAAGTTGGCTCGATTTATTTTTAGACAGTAAATAGGTCACAGTAAGACATGCATCTAGTGGCTCCCTGGTATACAATCAACTTACAAAATAAATCTATATTGCTTAAATATATATTATTGCTTTAAATAGTATATTTATTTTCTAAGCGAAAGAATATCTTCTGTTCTAGCTTTATTTCTTCTTGACAAAACATTCACAAAACAAGACAAACAAAGTACCACACAAAAGTTAAATTAATTTGACTAACAAAAAAGGTGAAGGAAAACATCGTAAAGAAAACTTCATATCTGAACATGGCGTGGTGGACTATGGTCTAATCTCATCACAGCAATGGGCCTGAATACAAAATACAGACTGACAAAAACATTTATATGTACGACAAACAGTAATTTAATAAATGTAAAGAGATAGCGAAGCGAAGCAATACGATTATTTGTTTTAAATCAATTGGTTTTTAATTTCTTAAACACGTGCGGCCTTTATAAATAGATTTCGTCTATTTGTCAAACGATTCGTATAATATTTGAGCAACCAATATTGCTCAATGCGAGTGTGGTGAGGTATTTAGGACGTACGTGATTATTAGACTGGGAGGTTCGCATGTTAACTTGGTATCATAAAACGTAATGTGCAAAATATGTATGAAGCTTCTGCCTGCGGCTTCAGTCTTATGTTAAATAGACATAGCAGGTAGCCTATTTCCGTTCCTATTAAGCAATTTATGTCCTTACTAAATTTTGTTAAAATCTGTTCAGCAGTTTAAGTGTGAAAAGGTCACAGAAGAGTTACTTTCATGTTGGATGTGTTGTTGAGGATTGTAGGAATAAGATGTTAGATATTTTAAAAGATTTAATCATTTTTAACTCCAACATATTTTTTTATCATTAATTTGGTAATAGAAATATTTAAAAAAAATTCACTGCGAATTCTGGGTTAGTTTCAACTGAAAATTTTTAACTTTTATACTTAAGTGACAGAAATAACTTATCAATCGAAATGTAAAAATGGCTAACAACGAAAAAAGCAGTTGCCTTTTTCATATCTAAAAAAATGAAACATCATCAAATATACAAAATGTTACCGATAATGTGAAAAGAGCCTTATAGTTTTTGTTTACGAGATTTCTATGTCTAGTAAGTAATGAAAGGCTTAACAAAGAAGCGACAGATGTCATTATCTCAGCGCGGGTGAACAACCTTTTGCGAAATGTTCGGCCTTGACTCGAATGCTAAAAAATTTATTAAAAGACTATACTTATATTTAAAATATATATTTTATATATATTTTTAATATACCCAATAACTTTAATATTTTAATTATAAAATATAACAAGGTTAATTAAACTAGCGACCACCCTCTCTTCGCAGGGGTTCGTTGGGGGCCTTTGTTAATCCAAGTCCTATACTTATAATCAATCTTACTAATAGTAATTTCTTCCCAACCAATTTCGGCCACGGTGACCAATCCCATGGAGACAAGTCATCGCAAACACAAGTGCATTCTCTCTTCCTGTCACTCCCATACTCCAGTGGGACGACTAATCGACACGACCAACAGTTAGAGTAAAGGCGCAGGACCGATGGCTTTACGTACTCTCTGAGGCATGTGGGTGAAACACCACCAAATTTCTAACTCCAAAATGTTACTGAAAATTTCTTGACAGAAAAACTCAATAGGTAAGTTAATTTGGCCCGACCTAGGACACAAACCCAAGACCTCCGGATCTGCGGCTGTACATGTTACTCACTAGATCACCGAGGCAGTGAATCTGTGTAGATACTAAACTTTATTCAAATCTAGCTGTATCAGTATTAAGAAGAGACCCATACAAACCTTTACAACGGTTTAAAAATGGTTTAGAATCTAAAATTACAGCTATATTTTTAAGTATCCCTACAACTATTTATATTGTATTATACCTCCTACCTATTATACCGCAATACATACAAAAACCAGACAGAAATTCTGAAAATTGTTATTTCAACTCTACGCCAAACCACTAAAAAATATCTATACTAATATAATAAAGAGGTAAGTTTGTGAATTGTGAGTTTGTGACGTTGTAGGGGTAATCTCTGAATGTACTGAACCGATTTAGATGTAATTTAGTAAGAAGATAGTTGGAGACCCTGGGAAGGACATAGGATCCGTTTTATCCTGGAAATCATCCCTTAAGGGGGTGAAAATGGGGCTGAAAGTTTGTATGGGGAATCAACCTAGGGACGAACCCGAGCAAAGCGAGGGTGAGTCACTAGTTATATATAAAGTTGAAAACTTCAAATGTCTCATGTTATTATTTTTAACCCTCGACGCAGAAAGAAAGGTATTATAAGTCTGACGTATATATCTGTGTGTCTGTCTTTGTGGCATCATAGCTCCTAAACGGATGGACAGATAAAAATAATGAAAAAGTTCTTATAAAAGTCTTATACACTCTAAAGCGATTCGTAAAGTAAAAGTTAGGTGGGTGAAAGTTTCGTATCATTTGATGTACTTATAAAAACATTCGGTATAAATATTATTTTTTCAATAATGTACGTAAGTCTGCTTGATTTGTTAATATTTGTGATTACTGCTCTGCTCCCTTTGGTAGTAGCATGATGACATATAGCCTATAATATAACGGGCTATCTAATGCAGGAAGAATTTTTCAAATCGAATTAGTTGTTCCTGAGATTAGCGCGTTCAAATAAACAAACAAACAAACTGTCATTTTATAATATTAGTATAGAATCTATAGATAATTTTTTTTTTTTACTTAACTGTAGGCTACTAGTTACAACTTTTAGTTCTCGGACTACTATTATAAATGTATGTTTGGACGCTGAAACATCTGGTCGTATATTGGTGAATTTTAATACACAGATAAACTATGAACTAGACGTATCCAAGGGTGACTTGCTAGTTAAAAGTATAATTGGGCTATATAATATATATTTTTTGTACCTTAAAACTTTATTGCCAATAAGTAAATTATATACAACACTTGCATCTGCAGTACAAGTTTTACTGTCTTTCCTGTTCGCGGTGGTCCAATACTCGTAACCAGACATTATAACTATGAATTGCACTCTCCAATTAAAATAAACAACTTATTTTAATTAGAGGATCCTTATAAATATAACAATTACTTGGAGATTTTTACATTACTATACTATACATATACTCGTACCTACTTATTATGTATTTAATAGTTATAGCTTTTGATAATTATTTATTGAGTTGTTTATTCAAAAATATTTTTGATAACATCGGATATATTTTGAAGTAACATACGAAGCGATATAGATATTCTGCGCCTTTATGAAAAAAGTTACAATTTGCCAAGGAATTTTAAGTAGAATAAGTCAGTCAGTCAGTCAGTACCTGGGGCCGAGCTCCACTCGACGTTTTTTCGGTTAAGACATATAAAAATGGCATTCTTTCAGAACAGACAACTATATAAATAAACTTAAAATGCAAAACCTTATTGAATACAAAATTTGATCCAAATCGTTAGAGCGGATTACGAAATAATAAATTTATATATACATATATTTAATAATATAAGGTACTAATAAATGCGATAATAACTGTATATCTGTATGCCTACAAGGATTACAATGGCATAAAATTAAATTACAAAAATCGGGCAAGTGACAGTCAAATTTGCACACGAAGAGTTCCGTACCATCGTAAATGTATTTTTTATTAATATTACTTTTACTTTACTATGTATGCAGTATATTATTAGCAGTATATTTTTTGTATTTTTATTTTTATTATTTCTTGTTATAGCAGCAACAGAAATACTTACTATTTGAAAATTTAAACTCTCTACCTATTACGGTTCATGGGATACAGCCCTCTGACAGACAGACGGACGGAAAACGGAAGTAATATGGTTCCGTTGGCACCCTCCGAGCACGGAACCCTAAAAATTAGCTGAAATGATTTTGACTGTATTGCTGACGAAAAAAAATCAATAGAAGTCATTAGAAAGTCGATGTTATTTTGTTATACAAATAATATAAAATAGGACCAAAAATTATTCATATCAGAAAAATTATTCATAAAATGAATATGAAATATATATGTACCTATTACTAGCGAGTTACCTCTGCTTCTTTCGGGTACATTCATAAGAGTATTTTGTCGAAGATACCGGATGAGCTAACAAATTGCACTCTTGATTAATACCTAACAAGCTTTGCTAGTTTATTTCCTTATTACATTTACAATACGTAACGTTTTACAGACTTTAATGCTAACTGTTAAGAAATTTTACCCACCTTTATTGCTCACCGACCACAGATTACTGTTGTTTTTTTTCGATTTCCCATCTTTGAACACCAGTATATCAGGAATCTTGTTGTGTTTGCTTTCTTTTGGTATCACATCAGGCGATCTCTCCACATTGACTCTCACGAATTCTCCTTTTAATATTTTCGGTGTTTCTTTGTTGGGTGGTGGAGGAGCTTTCGTCTTTTTCTGGAACAATCTCTTTTTTTCCGGCTTACTCGCTACTTCTATATCGGTGTAAATGATGCTGTCAATTTCACCGACGTCTCTGTCATGCCTTAATCCAATAAGACTTAACGGCTGGTCGAATCTCGAGTTTAAACTTTTTTGTTGCACAGATATATGAGTAACGCCATCGTTATCAACTGTATGCATCAAATCATATTCTGAACGAGTTTTATCATATACATTATAATCATCAATGGTTTTAATAGTATAAGATTCTACAGGTTTCTTTTTTGAAAATAAATTATCGCTACTCGAGTGTGTAGTCGTGTTTCTTGTTAGTCTATTACGCATTTTAAAATATTTATACGTGAAATAAATTCTTTTGAAATCCTGCTCGTTTTCAAATCGCAAAGCGATCGCTTCTTTGTTTGTGCTTTTTATAATATAAAAGACTAGAGTGTTTTCACAATTTGAATAGTTGTCAATGTTGACACAGTTTGCGATATCGTCTATAGCGATGTTCTCGTGTTTAACGGTCTTGTCGTAATCTTTTATCAGCTTTTGTTTGTCATCATCATTCGATTCTTCTTTTGTTGAGAGCTGTAGTTGGTCTTTCTCGTTAAAACCGACAATAACATTGTAAGAGTGTGGCGCTGGTAGCTTGCTTAAAGATGAAATGTCTAATTGGCTATTGTTATGTAGCTTTTGTCGGGTCACTATTGAAGCGTAGCCGCCACATCGACTTCCTTTCTTAACTGTCATTATTGATCTGTAAAAAAATAAAATTATGTTAAGTTTGGCAGATACTTTTGTTTATAACAAATAACAATACACTAAAGTACCGTATACTTTTTACTTTCACGGTTTTTATTTATAAGTGAAAAATATAATAAAGTATATTTTTAATGTCTCATAAACTTGGTTTTATCCTAAAATTAAAGAGTAAGCCAATGTTTTTAATGTTAGCATATTTTGTAGTATTATCACTTATCAGATATATTACAAAGTCGTCGTCATTGCAAAATTATACGATTGCTTTAATATTCTAGAAATAATCATAATTTAAAACCTTGTTAGCTGTGACATTTGATTTATAGATAGATAGTTCTAATATTTTAATTTATGCTCAAGGTACATTCGAAATCGTCTAAAGAAGCAAAGATTGCTGTTCATTAAGAAGTTATGGGGTCCGGTCTCATATATAATGTAGCAAAAGTGAGAGTGGTATTTTTTAAATTAATAGCAGTCGATAACAAATTAATTAATTCGACGAAGTGAGACTTTACAATATCTAGAAATATGATACTCTGAGTATAAAATACATATAGCGTATCCGAGATGCAAAATAATTTTACCTGACATATTGACTCACTTAAAAAAATGTTTATCAAAAATAGTTTTAAAAACCCAAATTTCAATGTACAGTTAAATGGGATATTGTTAAAGAACTAATATTACATATACATCCATCAGTAAAATAGAATATAGGATTCAGTCGTGCAATTAAATCTTACAGCTCTGAATGTCTAACGGTCTCATATATGCCTCCTAAGCCAAAACAAAAAAAAAAACGTGAACAAACTAAACTAATAAAATATTAAGGGCCATAAAGTTAATGAAAAAAGTAATTTGTTTATTGATTTCATGGCTTTTTTATGGCTTATGCACCGGTCGAAATGGATTTTAATAATGGACAATAAAATAAAATTTTTGTGGTTATTGCTAGATAGATTGTGTACAACAAAACTTTCACTATTGATTTTGATATAGTAAGTGTCCGATCAGACATGAGTTTAAAAGTAACGTTAGTTATCCCTAGTACAGTTTCTGAATAAAGTAAAACTTTATAATCTCTATTAGCAGAACCCGCAGCTTTGCTGGCGCTAGAACTACAAAAAATCTCTAAAATGTAGGTTTCGTACACACTTTCATCCAAAAATGCTAAAACACGTATTTATTTAATTGTATTGGAGAGCATTAGTACCAAGTTTCAAGTAATTTTAATCATAAATATTTTTTTGGGTTGTACTATAACGTGTTTTCCCGTGGGAATTAGATAATCTCCCGTGGTAAAAAGTAGCCTATGTCACTATCCCGCCTTCCAACTATCTTCACACAAAAAATCACGACAATACATCACTCCATTTCGACGTGAAAAAAAGACAGACAAACAAACGAACAAACAAACAAACAAAGAAACAAACAAACAAACAAACAAACAAACAAACAAACAAACAAACAAACAATCAAACAAATAAACAAACAAACACACTTTCTCATTTATAATATTAGTATGGATAGGTAAATTCTATTTATATATGTTTTACTCAAATTATCAATAATGATTATTGGTTGATACAATCATTATTATTGGTTGAATTTGGACACTATTACTCGTATAAGTATTTACTATTTAGTACAAATAAGCTCAAGGATCCTTACATATAAAACTAATTGCGTACATTATATGATTACAAAATACTTACAACATATGTAAATATTAATGTTTCTACAACTCATATTTTCAGACTCGGAAACGTACTAGATATTATGCTGCTTTATTACAAACATATCCGTATAGCTGGTATATGCGATAAGCGGAAATCAACGCACCAGTATAATTTACCTACCTCTACATTAAAAGCTAATCTTTCAAATGAATGATCTACTAGAAAGTATAAACAGAAAATAAGATTCTATAGTAAGTTTAAAGACTAAAACTCGACTACTGATTAAATCGCACTCTAAAATCTCATTTGTCAAAATATGATAGATAACTTATAAGATATGAGGGAACGAACATACATACATACAAAGCTTTCTAAAATCACAACCCTCCGCATGGACTGCGAAAGATGTCACTTGCACTGTGAGGCCATTGTATGGGAAATATCCTAAGAGCTTACATCATACAGTATGTTTCATCACATTCTAACTTTAGTCTATACATACAAAGGTATAATAAAATTCTGAGTCGAATTTGTACATTAAATATTTTTTTGAAAATCTTATTGAAGTAGTTTTTATTATCGATACAGAGACCGAATCTAGTTTTAATAAAAATGTCTGTCTTACTGTCCGCGACGGCATAACGAGAAAACCTAGGGACAGATTTTGATGAAACGTAGTATAAGGATACCTGGTTATCCGGGTCAGTATATAGGATACTTTTTACTGCGAGAAAATATCTCATCTCTGAGAAATCTATACTAAACATTAACGCGTAATTAGGGACGAACCCGAGCGGAGCGATGGTGAGTCGCTAGTTAAATATGTTAACTAATAAACTTCTGTTAACTGTTTTTGATTAAAATTATTCCTTAGGTATATAATATTAGTGTTTGTGTTGGTGGTCTCTGGGTAAGTCTTAGTCTCTCCCGACGCCATGATTGCTGTAAAGCATTCGAAACATCGGAACCAAAAATCAAAATAAAACCGCGAAAAAGTCCAAAAAGATAGCTTTATTTAAAATGAAAGAAAATTCAAACCACAATTTAATTTGTCTGTAGATTTTCTATATAACCGCTATCGTCTCTGATATGAGCCGTAGTATCCATATATCAATTAATTGCCTCTTAGTGGGAAGTGTGTTCTTTCCCAGACTGTCACAAACTATTGTTCTACTAGTGTTGTGATTACGCTTTCTCTAAATGATAGGCTTATGAAATTTCACTCCCTAAGCAAATTTCATATTATTTGAAATATGATTTTTTAATAGGGGCCTTTCATAAAATACGTTACGCTAAAATCCCTCGAAGTTCCCCTTCCTATTGTCACGCTGTGTCACACTTTCTGTGACCCCCCTAGAAATATTTCGTCACAAAAACTAAGACCCCTCTATTTCTGCGCGCGTAATAGCTAACAACACTCATTCGTGTCTTCCTCACATACGTGACACTGGCAGAATGTATTGCGTCTGTTAACACAATTTTAAGCCACTAAAGAAAAAAATCTCACAACATGACAACACACATTTACATACCTACATACATAAAAACTTATGATACTTAATTGAAAATTTTATAGTAAGATACTTAATAATTGAAACTAGTTATGGAGTAGGTATGCCTTTTTCCTATTATGTCTTTGGATAGAAATTTGACTTTTGAGTAGGTATTTGGCACTTTTATACAAGTATATAATTATATCTAATACTTTACGATGTGTATTGTATTCAGCCCTTTTTAACGTCCCACTGTTGGGGGTGGGCCTCCCATCAGTACGAGGAGAATCAGGCCATAGTCCACCACGAAAACCACCTTTTGAAAAGTCTTTTGTAATACTTTGTCTTTTGAAATGTTTTACGATACACATTTCTATTTAATTCAAAAATTTTATTCAACAAAAATTGTTATATTGTTTACTGAACGACTAACCACCATTTCCTGGAACCTATAACAGATACAATATTGTTATTAAATCGTAAGGCAACATTATCAAGACGTAAGACCATAACAAAATAACTACAACTTTAAATTATCAAATGATCATCATCGCGTAATTAAATTATATGCACTATAAAAAGTAATACTTTGTCATAAGACATTCACTTGAGAAAATTTGTATGTTTTCAGCCCTTTTTAACGTCCCTTCAATACGAGGGGATCAGGTCGTAGGCCACCACGATGGCTAAGTGCGGATTGCCGAACTTCACATGTATTTCGAAAACTTGTTAGGTTCTCTAAGACATGCAGGCTTCCTCACGATGTTTTCCTTCACCGTAAGACAAGTGGTAACCATGTTAGATATGATTCACACATGAAAATATACCCGGGATTTGAACCCGCTTTACTCGGTTTCCCAAGCGAGCGCGTTCCCACTGGGATGCCACTGCCTAAAAAAATTTATATTATAACAATTTTAGGTCACGCTTTTTGCGACCCTTGTATATTTGAAAAATAATGAAAGAAAAAACTTAAAACTGCCTTGTAAGATTCACGATACTTCTGACGACAAATGAAAACAATTCTCTCTTGCTATCACACAATCACATTCTCAGTCACATCTGTACAATGGTTTCTCATGATTATACCTTAGTTTGTGCTCTCTTAAAACTTTAAATAGAAAGCCGGACCAAACTACGATAATTACGTATGTGACAACTTCACTTTAAAATAATTGCTAAGAAAAAAAATAAAGCTAAACTGTAGAAAATACCAGATTAATTATTGGACTACTATTATAAAGAGGCAGAGTTTGTTTGTTTCATTGTACGCGCTGATCTCAGGAACTACTAATAAGTTTAACCGTAGCTACTACCCAAAGGAGCAGACAGAATTGGGCAGACTTTCGTACATTACTGCAAAGAGAAGGGAAAGAAGAGTTTGTTTTTTTGTACTTTTATAAGCTATGGGGTCGGGTGTGCATTTTCGAAAGTTTATATTCGAATTCAATTCAAAAAATTTAAGTATGTTTTTTACATCATCAGACTGTAACTGCTAGACTGATTTGGTTGAAACTTGAAAGTACACAGATAGGACCTGGAGCAGTGCATAGGCCATTGTTAGAAACCCCGAAAGGCACCCGAGTGAAGCCAGGGTAAGACACTAGTTGCTATATGAAAATATCACGTGCTTTTATATGAAGTCTGAGTTTAACAGTAAACACAGAAAAGTTAAATGTAGTAGTAGTTTTTTTAGGCGACCATTGATAACATTTTGGGGTAAAGAGATCATCTGCCAAAGAGTGAAATGAAGTGCGAGATTTATTTCAAGTTCAAAATTCTTATGACGGGGGTCTCGTCACTGCTGAAAGTGGGTCTG